CATTTGATAAACACGTTTAGATTGAATGGTAATTTATAATCAGTCACAAGAACGTCGAATCTGAATCACTTGAAAAAAACACGGGGGTGCTTAACTTTTTTCCAGGTGTATATTAAAGCTTGCTAAAATCTCAAAATGTTTTTTTGTGCACAAAATGGGTATCCTTGAAGCAATTTATGTTTAAATGTTGCTAGGAAGATCATTAAATCTATCTAGACTGGTGAACACTTTTCAGGTGTCGAATGATAATAATAGTTGTAGTTCTATGTCAACAATGTTTTACTCAAAAATATTTTAGAGTTAATATTTTGTAATTTTATGTCACTTATTTAGTATAATTTGACAATGAAAAATATAATAAAGATGTTCAAAGAATTTTCCTCATAAACAATGCATCTGTAAATTATTTTTCCGAATTTCTCTGCTCATCCTAAAGTATAGGTTTATATTTCCTAAGAAATTATCATCCCATTAAAATATAATTTTAAAGTTTTGTTTTTCATACAGTTTTTTTCTCTTTCAGTTGTTTTATTACTACAGCCCTTCCTTGGCACTTTTTTATTGTGTCTCAGCATGTGGGTGGTCTTAACAATTACTGATGAATCTCAACTGAAAATAACCATAGTCAGTATTTAAATGTGACTGGATAGAGCAAATTATAAATTATATACATCAATGCATAGTACATAAAGTGGTTTGAACAGTAATTTATAGTTTCTCAAAAAAGTATCTAGTCAAAGCTTTTCTAGGAATGAGCAAAGGAAGCTAATGGAAGGTCAGAAGACTTCAGAACAAATCACAGAATTTAAAATATTTTTACAGTTTGTTCAGACACTATTTAAATTTCTGGTAATGTTTTAGTGTTAGATTACATCTGTTTCAAAGCTACAAAAATTTTGTATGACAAGACATCAGGTAAGCTTAGTTATGTAAATATTTCAATGACTCAAATCCTTATTTATTGAATGGAAACACATACACAAAAGAACTACTTATTTATTAAAAAGAAACTATTACATATACATTAATCTCAGTCAAGCATATTATTAGCCAAACTCATTATACCTAGCATGACAAAAGTAAGTGTGACACAATTGTGAAAGTTGAAGTCTTAGGTTGCCAATAAATCTATTTCACTTCCAGTCATGTTTTTTATGATTTATTACAGGAGGCTGTGTGTGCTAAACTCAGCAAAATAAAGTATCAAAAGAAACATATTAGTGGATATCAATCAAGTTGAAACTGACTGGATATGTAAAATGTTACTCTGTGGTCAACAATAAACAAAATTGAAATTTGAGACAGATAGAATTACTTTGAAAATTTCATACACTAAAAAATGATAGAAATACTAAATCAAATAATATGACTTTTTTTTTTTTAAAGCCAACTCTATATAATATTGAGTTTATTTGAACTAAGTTTGATGCAGTTTAGTTAAGTATTTCCACTGTGAGAAATAAAAAATCAAGGGTTATCATCAGCACCCTTCCAGTCTGGAAAAAGTTAAATTAAAATTTTATCTATTGCTTCAGAGTGTTAGTTTGAGAAAGCCATTTCAGTTAGAATATTTGTTTGCACATATATATGTAGAACATAGTAATGCTGTAAGACAACAGTTTTGAAATGCATATTGAAACCATTCTTAGCCATTTTGTTTCATACTTAATGATCAAAAGACCATCTGTATTCAGTATTTTTAGATGATGATTGTATTGTGTTTCTTGCTTTAAGGGTTTTGTGCTTGGATGAACATTGAGAAAAAGTAAATAAATTATGTAATTTTTTATGTTATTAGATAAACATTTCCTCAGAAATGCTTTAGCTGAACACAATGCACAAGATATATAGATTTTAGCTTTTACTTGTAACTCATTAAGACATTTTATGTTGTTGATTGGAATTTTGATTAATTCTGCAGTTGAATATATCTTGGAGTGGGAACTAATATTAGACTAAATTCTTGTATTTTTATAATAATGTTTAAAATGGCAATAGAATTTACACCCAAAGAAGATCAAATGGTATATGTAATAGTGATGTTTTATTTTGTTTAGATTGTGAGGGATTTAGTTAGATGAGGTACAAAGATTTAATGCTGCTCTGTGATTAATATGTGCCTGAATTGCCAGGATGAAATGGTTAAAAATTAAATGACACATCAGGCTGGTAGTGGTACAGATTTCATTTGCATTTTGGGATGTTTTTTCAGTTTGTAAACATGGGGTTTACAAAGTATGTTCTTTGAACTCCAGTAAGATATTTAACGATAAACAATTTATTGTAGCTCTTTTGAGTAAAGATTTGTGTGTATGCTATAGATAATAAATTATTTTGAAGGTGTAACTAAACAGAAAAATAACTGAAGTTTCTTCACTTTCATGGTTTAGGAACAGCATGAAAACTGGGGAAATACTGACTTGAAATAATCTTTGTTATGAATGGAATGACAACAAGATTTTAAACTTGATCTTAATATATTTCTGGCGAATTTAATTTTTGAACAACAATAATGGCTAAAAACTGATTACAAGTAATGATTGTGTATTGTGCACATAATTTCTGTAATATAGTCCGTCAAATTTTGAATTATCCATGTTAAATTTTTATGTTTGAGTAGGCTTAATGAAATTTGTTTTTACTTGTAGTTTAGCTGTTATAGTATGATGTTTATAAATGTTACAGTTCTACAATTCAGAAGATGCAAGAAAAGCTCTAGATCAGCTAAATGGGTTTGAATTGGCTGGACGTTCAATGAAAGTTGGTAATGTCACAGAGCGATCTGATTCCACCTATGGTGCATCTTTTCTGGATAGTGAAGAAACAGATCATACTGGTATAGGTCTTGGTGCCACTGGAAGACTGCAACTCATGGCCAAGCTTGCTGAAGGTACATATTAAGATAGTGACTACACACATTAATATATGTGTTGTAGCTTTTGAGTACAAAAATTCAATTTTTTTTATGTAAATTACATAATTTTCTGATAATTTGGCACATGAGTTACTAAGTTACTTGCAGGAGTTGGATGATTCTTCTAGGCTTGTAAGATGCAATGTAGATAAGTTACAACTCTGTGTTTGTAACTGGCCAATACAAAAACTGGAATGTGTCACAAAATGAAATTGTTTAGGCCACACAAAAACAGTTTTTTTTATGTTTGTTATTATTACTAATCAAAAGGTTATAATAATAACTTATCTGTAACATTTATTATAAAATCATTATTGGCAATTCCATAGACTTAAACCCTTTAGCAAAAGGCAGGTCAAAATGTACATGTCACAGCCTCTTACAGAGTTACATTCAGAATTTAAACTATTTTATTATCAATGTATACGAATAAACTTGGAATGAACACTGCTTCAGTGTTTTAAATGAAGTATAGCCAACTTTTAATATCAAGCAATATAGATTTCTTCCATTTCTGTAACTCAATATTTTATTTCACGAAACATTTTTATAATACAGGAACAGGTTTTGAAATTCCCAAGGTGGCAATGTCGGCTCTTCAGATGCAGGGATCAATCATCCAGCAGAATTCTATTCCACCAATAGCAACACAGTGTTTCATGTTATCAAACATGTTTGATCCAGTATCGTGAGTACCTTTTATGAAATATTTCTGTTAGTCAACCCTTTCACATTGACCTACTAACATTATAAGAAGCTATGTAACTCTCAAATTTCATTCCAAAAACATAACTAGTGGATGATATTGTTTGAAACTTGAGAGGAACTTTCCTAAAGGTATGTAGTTTCAGAAAATTAGAATATTTTTTATTTTTTCAACTTTTTCTACTAAAATGTGTTATTTATTGTAGTTATTTGCATTCAGATTCTGAGTAGTTGAAGTGCAAGGTGATTATCATGTTTAGTATAAAAATAATTTTTTATCTTAAAGTTTCAAATTTCATTCACATAACTTCTAAAACCTCCAAAATTAATATCAAAAGTAATAATAAGGTTAATGTTTATATTTATTTTGTCATTATCTCTATAATATCACTAACTGTAACTATTATTGTCAATGTTGATATGCAGTGAAATGTTTAAAATTAAGAAACAGAAATATGTACTTACCTTTTAACTCTGTCAAATAATCTCAAGATATCTTTTTTTGGCTATATTTGTAATTTCAAGTATTTACCTTTTCACTTATAGTTTATTTGTAATGTTTTATTTTCCTTTCCCATCCTTTACGATTTATTACTTTTTCTTGACACACACACACCAACAGGTGCCTTAGAAGCATATTACAGCATTTTTGGCAAAGATGCAAGCAAGCCTTTGGTAAAATGTTTTTGTACTTGCGTAGTAAGTTAACCCTCACGAACAAAGACGAAGTTTGGGTTGTATTAAAAACATTTTAAAACATAAAACCAAAATATAAAAGTAAAACCTAAATACAAGTTAACTGTCTCTTACTAATATGTATGTATCTAGGTGAGAGATGACACTAATAGCTAGTGAAGGTGAAATCAGCAGACAGTACTTCAGCTGTTCGACACCCTTGGCAACAAATATTGTGCGTGAGTTTCAGATAACTAAAGAAGTAATTAAGGATAATAGAGAACCTTGATCAGTATATTGAGAATATATGATGGGCTTTTGCATGCACCCCTAGGTGGAGCTCTTTTTCTTAATGATGACATTGAATTTCATACTTTAGCTTATTTTTAACAAGGAATTAGATTACAGTTTAACCCTCTTCATGGGTGAGTCAGAATGTGCATGTCACAAATTTTTTACAGGGTTACATTCAACATTTAACTAAACAACTGTATTATCAATGTATGCCAGTAAACTTGGTATCAAAACAGTTTATAATTGAAATATTATCTAAGTTGTAATGTGTTAATTTTAAAAGCAAGTACTGAAACAAATTCTCAACCTTTACTCGTTTGTGTCACATGACATGTCTGCCCTCATAGTTCTTCCCTTTAGATTTTATGCTTTGATCAATACAATTTCTGTAGTGCCTAACCAGTTAAATGATTAAACTACCTATTTTAACAAAGAATATAAAATGTGAATTTCTTAATAACTTGATTTGGTGATATATCAATAAATCTGTGAATGCACATGTTTATAGGCAATAGAAAGACCATATTGTTACTTACGTGAATCTTAAATTCAGCTTAGTTTTGGCAAAGATGGAAGTGATCAAAAAAAGCATAATGTCTGTTGAGTAAAGTCATTGCTCTGAGCAATAATATAATTTTTTTTAATCTATGGATAGCTTTGTAGAAATCTAGGTTAATTATAGTAGTTTTGGGACATTCTGTTCTAGTACTGCCCGGCATGGCCAGGTGGTTAGGGTGCTTGATTTGCAACCTATGGGTCGCCGTTCGAATCTCAGTCCCATCAAACATGCTTGCCTTTTCAGCCGTGGAGTAGCCCAAGAGGTGGTGATGACTAGCTGCCTTCCCTCTAGTCTTTCACTGATAAATTAGGGATGGCTAATGCAGATAGCCCTCGTGTAGTTTTGCGCAAAATTCATAACAAACAAACAAACCTGTTCTATTGTCTGATATATTTTTGTGTTTTAAAATACATATTTGAAAGCTACATGAATTAGTTTTTGGAAAAGAAAGTAATCCTACTGAAGCATAATATCAAAGTGCAAATGGCCTTAGCCTTAGTGCTAAATTTCTTATGTAAATGTTTTTTATATAACTTTTAACAAAAGCAACTAAAATGTAGAATTTGCAAACTTCATAGGTTAGATACAAAACATAAATACAATATAGTTCAATGAGGAAGCTAAAATAACTTGTGATTATTACCTGAGTGTTTGTTTAAGCTGGCTGGAAATATCCTGCTGCAATTTGTTTTTCAATTACAAAGGACCCCAATGTACAGTATTGATAACAGAAATTTGAAAGAAAGCAAATTGTCAAAAGGTTAGAAGTTGAGGCTGTTAGGATAAATAATTGTAATTGTTTTTTACGATTTTTCATCATTCTAGAAAAAATAGAGGAATTGATTTTTTGTTTTTAAACTCTTCACTGCACATTGATGACTTTGCTACACTTAGTATAGAAAAATAGAGATAAAAATAGTTTTTAATCTCTCCTTCTAAAAAAATTTTGATACTCATTTAGTAGGTTTTAGAAGTTATGCAAGTGAAATACAAAAACTGTAAGATGAAAAAGAAGTATTTTTGTTATAAGCATGAACATAACGTTTTACTCTGTAAAGGATTCATAACTTCATAAACAAATTTTTAGTTAAAAAATCAATCTTTTTGTGCACAAGACTTGTAACATTTATTTAAAGCTTTTCAAATTTCTTTAAGATACACCTTGTACATTAAGTTATAGTTTGCAAGAACACAAAAAACCGCAAAGGTAAATTGATTCTTATTAGAATATATACAGAGGGCTATATCTTTGTTGAAATTTGTGTAGAATTTTGGTTTTTGTAGGGAAAAAAGTCCTACGTGGGATCAAGAAATACGAAATGATGTCATAGAAGAGTGTCAAAATCATGGTGGTGTATTACATGTGTTTGTGGACAAAGCTTCTGCTCAGGGAAATGTGTTTGTGAAATGTCCAACTGTTGCAGCAGCAGTTGCTTCAGTGAATTCTCTTCATGGTCGTTGGTTTGCTGGTAAAAATTTTAAATATACTTACTACTATCTCTCTCTAAAAAAACAAAGCAACTGCTCTCTTGATATCCGGCTTTTCATAAATCTTTCGTAAAATTAATATATTTTTAGTTTCAGATGCTTTAAAAATTAATTTTATTTTTTGTGTATTGTTAACTTTAGCTCACCATCATCAGTTGAATTTTAAGTAGCAAATTTAAAGAGTATTTGACAGTATTTCAATAAATATATGTGATAATATGCAATACAGTGCTTCCTTAATGTTTTTATAGTTGTCTGTTTAGCTCTATTACTTTGGTCTTTCAGCAGATTTTCTGGCATTCACTTTTGAGATTAAGATTGGTTTTCTTTTTCAGTCATATATTGATGAATTTCAGTTCTATGAATTAACAAGATGTTTATCACTTCCTGGTTATATAACCAGATTTGCTAATCTAGTTATCATTGACTCACATTTTTATTTGAATTACTTGTTTTTGATGTTTTAGAATTGAGAGTTATATTTCAGTACACAGATCTGAGCTGTGAATAAAGTCACTTCATTTGGTCAGTCAATGAGCAGGTCACTTGTCAAAACATTTGGATGGTGTTTCATCTACAAGTAAAGTTCTGTTAAAAGTATTTTTTGTGACTTATGTAATTCAGTCAGCCAGTTTGGAAATACATCTCCTATGCTGACTAATCTTTTCCATGCTGCTCTGTCTATGTTTCCTTGCATTCCTCTTTTTCTTACCATTCTTTTGGCTCTCCTCTGGTTTTTTTTATGTAGTTGCTGTCTCTCCACTGTCCTTGCCAATCTTTGTTTCTCCATCTTTCATACATGTTCTAACCAGGTCAAACAACAATTCTCTGCTAGTTCATTCAGTCACTTTTTTTCTAGTAATCCTTCACGTACCCTCTTTTGTGACCCTTCATTGCAAAATTCCCAAAATCCATTTGAGACAGTTTTCACAGAAACCATCTAATCTCTGTTTCAGCTGATGTTCAGCTTGTTGAACCATACAGATACTAATATTCTTGTAGCAGCATTATACACACTGTTTTTGGTTTTTATGCTGATATATCATCATTACAATAGTACAGTACTCAAGGTATTAACACATTAACCATGAATGACATTTTAATGCATCAATCATTTCTATTAGTCAGCAAAGGAGATATAACTATGTGCAAGCATACAGGGTATTAACACATTAACCATGAATGACATTTTAATGCATCAATCATTTCTATTAGTCAGCAAAGGAGATATAACTATGTGCAAGCATACAGATAAACAGTCCCTTAACATTGTACAGTGATTACGTATGTGCTGCACTTTTGTGAATGATAAACATTTTTTGCTAAGTTTTAAGTCACATGACCTGAGATTTCCACAGTGGTTTTGTTGGTTACTGTTATAGCTACAAGATGGCAAGGTTGCACAAGTGTTTAGTCCTTTGATAATAAGTATGTGGGTAAAAATGCCACAAATGTGAAAATAAACATGATTGCTTGCTCAAAGTGAAGTATGAATTGTAGGAAAAACATTATTTTGCTTCAATACATTAAACATTTGACATGTTTGCAAATACACCATAAAATGTATGTGCCTGATTACAAAAATATTCAAAGTGTGTGTCACACTATTTGATTTTTCTTTCTCATAATCAGAATTATATTATAAACGTAATCATATAATCAAGCTGTGTACTTACTTACTAGTGTTTGACAAGCTTAGACTTGTTTCACAAGTTTTATACCCTTAATTCATAAGGAAAGTACACCTTCTAATATATCAAATTATAAAACTGAATTCCAAGTGTATTTAAAATATTTTTAGGTACAGTTTTCATCTATTTTAATTTCAGAACAACAGGTTATATATTACTTTTTTGAAAAAACAGAATCTTTCCTTTCTGAGAATTTGCAATGAAAATAAAATTTACACTTGTAAATACTTTTGTTAACTATGGTCTGATTGTCTACGTAGTAACTATTATATCTTAATGTACATTAAATCTTTTGGTAGGAACATACCATACCGTAAATTTGAAGCAGGAGTGTACACCCCATTAATACATTTTTTGAAAGTTAAAAAAATATTCAACAATACTTTTCATCTTTCTGCATTATGTGCTAGTATGCAGCACACTGTTATTTCCCACTTGTAAAAACTTCAGCTTGGTGGATAC